GTCTGTGGGTGTGCGGAAGAAGGATGAGGAGAGTGGTAGGGGTCAGGAGGAAGAGGAGGATGATGATGATGACGAAGAGGAGGAGGAGGAGGAGGAGGAGGAGGAGGAGGAGGAGGAGGAGGAGGAGGAGGAAGAGGAGGAGGAGGAGGAGGAGGTGGAGAAACATGATGAAGAGGACGAAAGGGTGGACGATGAGGGGGCGGCAACATTGGATGGGGAGGAGGTGCAGGAGGAAGAGGAGGAGGAGGAGGAGCAGGAAAAGGAGGAGGAGGAATAACAAGAGGAGGAAGAGGAGGCATAAGACGGGGAGGAGGAGGATAGTGGGATTGTGAGGATGGTGTTACTGTTGCTGCTGATGTTGCTGTTGCTGTTGCTGTTGTTGCTGCTGCAGTTGTTGTTGTTGTTGTTGTTGTTGTTGTTGTTGTTGTTGATGTTGTTTTTGTTGTGGTGGTTGTTGCGATTGTTACGGTTGTTGTGTTTAGTGTTGTTGATGCTGTTATGTCTGTTGCTGTCGTGGTTGTTGCTGCTACGGTTGTTGTTGTTGTTGCTGTTGTTGCTGCTACTGTTGATGTTGCTGCCGCTGTTGTTGTTGCTGCTGCCTTTGTTGATTATGTTGTTGTTGTTGTTGTTGTTGTTGTTGTTGTTGTTGTTGTTGTAGTTGGTATCGTTGTTGTTGTTGTTGTTGTTGTTGTTGTTGTTGTTGTTGTTGTTGTTGTTGTTATTGTTGTTGTGGTTGTTGTTTTTGTTGTGGTTGTGGTTGTGGTTGTGGTCGTGGTTGTGGTTGTGGTTGTGGTTGTGGTTGTTGTTGTTGTTGTTGTTGTTGTTGTTGTTGTTGTTGTTGTTGTTGTTGTTGTTGAATCTTCATTTCTAAAAATAGTTCTTGTTGACCCGCTCCAGTAGCAATTGTAGTTTTTTGAATTGAAGTGCCCCCCCTCGGGGCTCGCACCCTGTTTTTTACGAGGGAAAGCTTGGTGTCACCAAGCCCCTGGCCCCCGAACTGTAACAACAACGGCTCCCGCCTGATACTTCCTCACAAGTTATCCCCAGATGTCGCTCTCGCGCGGGACTTCCTCACAATTTATGCAGGAATCGCGCTCTCGTCGCGTGGGATTTCCTCGCAACTTATTCAGACGCCGCGCCCTCGACACTCAGGAGTCACGCTCTCGCTTTGGCCTTTCTCAGGATTCACTTCGGCATCGCGCTATCGCTCGAGCGCTCCTCGCGATTCATGCAGGACTCACGCTTCAGCAACACACCTGCTCGACGTGACCTCCTGGGCCCGCCTTCCCGACCCGCCCCCTAAGGTCTGCCCGCCCAATCTGCCCGTCTGGTTGTGCCACGTGTTTTCTGCTCCTAGCCCCCCTCCTGCTAATTTCTCTCGTGCTCCATCCTTCTCCCTCCCCCTCCTTCCCGTCCTCTCTTCCCCTGTTTTGGGGGCTGCGCAAAATGCACATGGCATGTAAGGAAGATATACTCCCAAGTGGGTTGTGATCGAAGGCGACGAGGGCGGATATCGATGGTTTGGAGTATACAGAATGCAAGGCACGCGTGCCAGTAAGAGCGATCAGTCTTAGACTACTTGTGTTGTTGCTGTTGCTATTGGATTCTCACTACTGGAGAATAAGTAATGTTGATCCCGCCCCTCCGGTGACCACTGTGTTTTTCAATTGAAGTGCTTCCCCCAGGGCTCGCACCTTGTTTTTATCAGAGAAAGTATTCCTCCTCAAACTGGGCCCCTGGCCCCCGAGTTACAACAACAACGGCTCCCGCCTGATACTTCCTCACAATTTATTCCCAAATCGTGTTCTCGTGCGGGACTTCCTCACAGTTCATGTACGCATCGCGCTCTCGCGTGGGATTGCTTCACAATTTATTCAGACGATGCGCCCTCGGCGCTCAGGAATCACGCTCTCGCTTTTGCTTTTCTCATGATTTACTTGGGAATCGCGCTATCGCTCGAGACTTCGCGATTCATGCAGGACCCACGCTTCAGCAACCCGCCTGCTCGACCTCGTCGCCTGGGCCCGCCTTCCCGACCTGCCCGCTATGGGTCTGCCCACCCGATCTGTCCGTCTGGTTCTACCACTTGTTTTCTGCTCCTTGCCCCCCTCCTGCTAATTTCTCTCGTGCTCCATTCTTCTCCCTCCCCCTTTCACCCGTCCTCTCTTCCCGTATTTTAGGGGCTGCACTACATGCACGTGGCAGGCAAGGAAGATATTCCTCCAAGGGGATACGATCGAAGACGACGAGGGCGAGTACCGAGGGTTTGGGATATACGTAGTGATTGGCACGTGAGCAGATAGGAGCGAACAGTCTCAAAATGATGATTGTTGTTGTTGCTGTTGTGGCTGAATTTTGATTACGGAGGTATGCCCCCTCTGGCACACACTTTATCTATTCCATTGAAGTGCCCCTCCCAGGCCTCGCACCCTGTTTTCATCAGGGAAAGTCGTGAGGCTCCAATTGGGCCCCTGGCCCCCGAGCTGCAACAACAACGGCTCCCGCCCGACACTTACTCACAGCCTGATGGGCCCCCCACGCTCCCGCTTGAAACTTCTTCGCAGTTTACTCATGGATAGCGCTTTCGCATCAGACTTCCTTGCAATTTACTGAGGCCCCGCGCTCTCGCCATTTAGGATTTGCGCTCTCGTCTTGGACTTCTGTATACTTTACTTGGGGATCGCGCTTCTCGCCCGACACATCGCACTCGCGACCCGCCCGCTCGACCCGCCCGTCAGGGTCCGCCCGCCTGACCTGCCCGGCAGTCGCCCCTCGCTGCTTTTCGCCCGTTCCGATACCCCTCGCTGCCCCTCGCGATACCGCAGTCGGATTTGAAGGCCCCGCCGCTGCTTTCGTGGCCTCCTCGATGCCTTTCGTGGCTCCGCTATTTGAGCCCCTCGATGCCGTTCGTGGCCCCGCGGTCGCCTTTCGTAGCCCCCTCGCTGACCTTCGGTTGCCCCGATGTAGCTCTTCGTGGCCCTCTCGCTGCCCTGCCTGGCCCCTTTGCAGCCCGCCCCCTTCCGTTTAAGGCTGCGCCAATTTCGCGTGGCAGGGAAGAGCAGTATCCTCCCCCAAGGGGGTACGGTCGAAGACGAAGAGGGCGGGTATCCAGGGTTTGGGAGACACATGTTGGTTGACGCACGCGTATACGAGCGAATACTCTTAACATGACTGTTGCTTGTTGTTGTTATCGTTGTTCTTGTTGTTATTGCTGCTGCCGTTGTTGTTGTGGTTGTGGTTGTGAATGTCGGTGTTGTTGTTGATACTCTTGTTGTTGTGGTTGTTGTTGTTATTAATGTTGTTGTTGCTGTTGTTGCTGCTGTTGTCGATGGTGATGATTATGATGGTAGTGGTCTTGGTGGTGGTGGTGGTGGTGGTGGTGATGTTGATGACGATGCTGATGCTGATGCTGATGCTGCTGCTGATGATGGTGATGAGGAGAGTGATAATGATGGTGATGATGCTGCTGATGATGATTATGCTGCTGATGATGTTTATGATGATGATGCTGCTGATGATGATGATGCTGATGACGATGATGATGATGATGATGATGATGATGCTGCTGATGATGATGATGATGATGATGATGATGATGACGATGCAAGTGATGATGATGATGAGGAGGAGGAGGAGGAGGAGGAGCAGGAGGAGGAGGAGGAGTATGAGGAGGAGGATGAGGAGGAGGAGGAGGAGGGCAAGGAGGATGAGAAAGAGGCGAGGGAAGGGGGATAAGGGCGGAGGGTATCGATGGGAGGAGGGTTGGAAGGGGAGAAGGTGATGCGGGAAGATCTGTGCGCTCGCTTCATACATGTCATCTTACCCTTCCCACCCATCCCTTCCTATTGCGCTGAATTGTTTTCTGTCCGACAGCTGGGGTGTCCCAGATGACCTTGACTACGAAATGACCTATCACTTATCGTGTGATGCACAATCAAAGGGGGGGGGCTTTGTACATTTGAGGTGGGGGTGGCGGATGAGCAGAAGGATGAGCAGGAGGAAGAGGAGGATGATGAGGAAGAAAGGAGGCGGACCATCAGCAGAAGCATGAGCAGGATGAGTACAGGAGCGGGAAGAACAGGATGACTGGAAAAGGGCTGACGATGGGGGGGGGGAGGGGGCGGAGGGAATGTGACGACCTCCCCTCCTCCAACCTCCTACCCTGGTGCAGGGGTGGGAGTGTCTTTTACCCCCTCCCCTGCACCTCCCCCCCTTGCGCCACGACGACGGCGCACGACCAGCGCGTCGTCGTCGTCGTCGTCGTCGTCGTCGTCGTCGTCGTCGTCGTCGTCGTCGTTGTCGATTGCTCCGCACCCACCATGTCAGGGGCAACGATGGGGGGGATAGGCATAGGGGAGGATGCATCGACCCCCAAACGCCCATTGATCGCGGAGAGGGGTCTGGTAGCTCCACCCGCCCGGGAACGTGCGGACCCGCTATCGGGGTCTTGTCGCCGATCTATCGGCGATGTATCGCCGATTCCAGGTCGACGTTTCCCCGCCCTGTGCCAGTTCCCCCCTATGGTTGCCCCTCAGCATGATGAGAGCGGCGGCGAGCGAGGGGGCATCCAGTGGCCCCGCGGTCGCATGGATACGTCCCGCACGCGGCATCCGCGAAACAACGCCCCAAATCCGTGGGGTCGCGGCCCGCGATACAAACAACGCCCAACGGACCGGAGGAGGAGGAGGAGGAGGAGGAGGAGGCGGAAGAGGAGGAGGAGAAGGATGAAGAGGAGGAGGAGGTCGAGCCCGGGCGCGCGCGGGCGCGCGCGCAACTTTAATGATCCCCGCCTCCTCCCCCAACGCCCGAATCCGCCCCAAATCCTCCCCAAACAACGCCCAACGGACCGGGCCCGCGAGGCCGTAGGCACGGATACGCTTTTCGCCCACGATCTCCGACGTCGCGACTCGCTCACGGCGTGGCCCCCTCAGCTCTCGGCCCACCTCACTCCCCCAGGGGCCGGCTCCGCGCCGCGGACTTTTTTTTTTTTTTGTTCTTGTTCTCCTTTCTTTTTCCACTTCGGGGCCAGGAGGAGGAGGAGGAGGAGGAGGAGGAGGAGGAGGAGGAGGAGGAGGAGGAGGAGGAGGAGGAGGAGGAGGTATAATAGAAGCATCGCGTGGTGACGATTTTCGCGCTCTCTTAAACTATTATTCGGTTTTGACGTCACAATTTCTCTTCCAAGGTCCGCCTGTAGGAGGACATGCTCGGCTGCAGGGCGCCGAGATCTGTAAGTCGGGCCTGTCCCTCTAGAGGAGGAATATTCAGGAATAGTAAGAAAATAATCAGGTGACGATTTTGGACTATTTCTGCATATTTTTGGAGCACTTTTGGGGTATTTTTTATGTTTCGCCCCAAATCCGCCTGTAGGGGGACACGCCCGACCGAAGCCTGGGCCCAGGAGTTGTCACTCAGGGACTCCTTAAGACTTTCCCGACGATGTAAAAGTTGAAAAGAGTTGCTGTCTGGGGGCCTGGGAAGTTGGACAAAGTTGAGGACAGTAGCTCTCGAAAGCTGTCCCCCCTGGGGGCCCCGCTTTCCGGAAGTCTTTTCGGGAGTCCCTCTCTCGGAGCGGTGCACACGTCGCCGCGGGGGGAGACGGCTCCCGAGCTTGCTGTCCGCCGTTCTCTGGGGGCTTTCGGGGCCCTCCACGGGCCCAGGGGCGGTCAGAAGACGGCTCGGGATGAGAAGCTCGTCCTGCGTCGGGCCCGTCCCCCCTACAGGAGGAGTGCTCAGAAGCAGCCCAAAATGCTATGGGGACGATCTTTCGAGTGTTTTTGGTCATGCTGGGGTATTTTTTGACCATGTTCATGTTTCGTCCAAGATCCGCCTGTAGGGGGACATGCCCGACCTGAAGCTCGTCCTGGGGGAAGGCACCAGGGTCCAGGACCCGTTCCCTTGAGGACCCGTTTCCCCATGCTAAAGCGGTGTATACGGCCTTCTGGCTTGGCCAGGGATGCACATGCACCGCTCCCAGGCCCAGCGCCCCAAAGTGGCCAGGGCCCACTTCGATCCGATCGATCCAATCCGATGTCGACTTTGGCCGCCCCGTGCCGGCACGGTCCGACTTCGCGATCCGATGCTGGCTGATCTTGCCCCCTGCCCGACCCCAGGACGACTGCGAAGATGAGTTGGAGGAGTTGCGGGAGGACGAGCCCTCCGTTTTCCCTCTCTCTCTCTCTCCTCCTTCGCCGTCCTCCTCCCCAGGCATCCGACCTCCGCTTTTTTTTTCGCAGCGTGGCCCTTCAGAGCCCCGGGATCGGTCTCGCCCCGCGCCGTTTTTTCTGACCGCCCCGGCCCGGTGAGGGCCCCTCTGAGGCTGGAAGGGAGCAGAAACTCCCCGTCGTGATGTTTGCACGGCGCGAGCATCTCTGGGCCTCGCGCGCTTTCTCCTCGTTCCTGCCCCCGAGATTGTCTTTTTCATCCTCTGGCGCGTGACGGTCCCCCTCCCCGCCCCCGGATAACGACCGTTACCGGAAATTATAACACCATGACCTCCCCTCCTCCTGCCGCTCGAGGCCGAGGCCGAGAAGTTTGGGCGCCGCATTGGCATCCTGTCCGTCTGCGTCTATGGTGGGGCGCCGCGCGGGCCGCAGCTCCGCGACATGCGGGCGGGGCGCCACCTGATCGTGGGCACGCCAGGCGCTCCGAGGGGGGGTCCGGCACGGTCGAAGTGGGTACGGGATGAGCGGGAACGGCGGAGGGCCAGTCTGTCAGGGGCAACGTTCGGGGGGGACGGGTTCAGGGGATGCTGCATCCACCCCCCATCGCCCGTGCATCGCCGCGTGCATCGCCAACGGGGCCCCGATAGCCCGCCCCCGCCCAGGCACGTGCGGCTCCGCGGTCGGGGGCCCATCTCCGATCTACCGGCTGTATCCTCGATTCCGGGTCGAGGCTTCCCACCCCATCCTGAGCCGGTCCTCCCCGAGCCCCTCAGCCGAGACGACGGCGCCCCCCTGGCGATTTTTTTGTTTTCTCTTCGTGGGGCCTCCTTGAGGCTTGTCATCGCGACGGCTGGATCCGCGTCGCACAAGAGGGCCCGGGGTTGGGGCCTGGTTCCAGGACCGCTCATAAGCGAGCGCTCGAGGGTGGGGGGCTGCGCGGCGGCCGCGGCAAAGACGGCGGCTGCGGCGGCGGCCGCGGCAACGGCGGCGGCGGCGGCAGCGGGGCGGCGGCGGCGGCGGCGACGACGACGACGCGGGGCGCGCTGGGCTCGGAAAGCTCCGGGGGCCAGACCTCCGACGTGTTGAGAGCAGCCAGGCGGAGGTTTCGCGCAGCTGTCGGCCTCCGAGGGCCCTCGCCGGGCCCGTGAGGAAGCGGCTCGGGACGAGGAGCCAGTGCCACGCGGCATCCCGAGTGCTGCTGCAGGGCCCCTCGGCCAGAGCGTAGCCATGATGGAACCAGTGTTCTTTCGGCCACAGCTTGCAGCAGCAGGCGTCCAGATGCTTGCCACGAGGCGTGACGGCGCCCCGTGATAGTTCAGACAGATTCCGTGCCGCTGGCGATGCGATGCGATGCGATGAGAAGCCGACCCCAGTGAAGGGGTCGAGATCTCTGTGGGTGACACGCGGGGACCCAGACCTCCAACGTACTCTAAATATCGAGCGCCGGTTCTTCTCAGTTTTCGGCCTCTGGGGGCCCTCGCCAGGCCCCAGGACCGTCAGAAAATGACTCGACATGAAGAGCTGGCCCCAGGGAAGTGATTGGGACTTCGGGGGTCGACGTTGTGAAACAAATCAGGACATCGGGGGTCTGGGGACCGACAGCAGCTCCTGTCCATTTTGAACGGGGCTCGATGTCGGTGTGGCTCCAGACGTCGTCCGTTGGAGGCGAAAGGTCGCCTGCCAAGCAGCTGCAGCTGTCTGGCTATTTTCGACCACATCTGCCGCCAGGCACCGTGCCCCATTTTGCCCGTTCCTGTTTCGTGCGTGCCCAGAGGAAGAGGCTGAGGCTGAGGAGGAGGCTGAGGATGAGGATGAGGATGAGGATGAAGATGAGGATGAGGATGAGGATGAGGATGAGGATGATGATGATGATGATGATGATGATGATGATGATGATGATGATGATGATGATGATGATGATGATGATGATGATGATGATGTGGAGGAGGAGGCGGAGGAGGAGGAGGAGCAGGAGGAACATGAGGAGGCGGAGGAGCAGGAGGAGGCGGAGGAGGATGAGGATGAGGATGATGATGATGATGATGATGATGATGATGATGATGATGATGATGATGATGATGACCATGATGATGATGATGATGATGATGATGATGATGATGATGATGATGATGATGATGATGATGATGATGATGATGATGATGATGATGATGATGATGATGATGATGATGATGATGATGATGATGAGGAGGAGGAGGAGGAGGAGGAGGAGGAGGAGGAGGAGGAGGAGGAGGAGGAGGCTCGCTTGGACTCGATGCCTCGCTCCGCCTGCCCGTGCTCTGCTCGCAGCTGCATTCACGCCTGCTGTCAAGGCCCTCTTCGCCCAGGTCGGGCGTCTCCTGCCTCCTTCCTCTCCCGTGGCGCAGGGCGCCAGCTGCGGCTTCGCAGCAGCAGCGGGAGGCACGCTAGGCTCCATGGCTCGACCCGAACGAGCGGCTCCCGCCCTTTCGCTTTCTTCGCCCTGCTTCCCTCGTGCAGGCCCGTGCCTCAATTGGTTCCCAGCGTGTCCCGCCTGTGGCCCGACGGGCGCCTCTGCACCGCTTCCGCACCCCTGCGCCCGCGGACTGGAGAGAGGGCCGCTGCCGCTTCGGCCTCGTTTCGCAGCAGGGGCGGGCCGAAGACGAACCGAAAGCAACGGCCCCGAACACGCGGGAACTCCGCCCGGCCAGCGACGCGGCGGCGGTTGGCGAGGTCCTGAGCCGCAGCCCGGGGCACTCCTGATCGGCGCCCCCGAGGCACGCATGCATGGCGCCACGAGCAGCCCAGCACCCCCGGCGGGACGCCAGGCCACTCTTGGCGGCTCTGCGCTGTGGCAGTACCCTGTCGAGGGCAGACGTGGCTCCACTGGCCCTTTCCGCGCCAGCCCTGCCGAGTCCCGCCCCTCCTAAGATTAAACCGCCGGCCTCCCCTGCCGGAGGGGGCGCCGCGCTCAAAATCAGATGACGTCCTGGGGTTCCAGGGTTGGGTTTCTTGTGGAAGGTTTCTTGTGGTCTAGCCCCTACTGTGCTCAGGCGATTGCGAGCATGGATTGAGGGGGCGTGGATTAGCGACGGGGCCCGCTTCCACGGGAAATCGTGGATTTCCGCCGCCGAGTGAGGCGGCACTGGCCGCATTTTGGGGAGAGCGCCTCCCCCGATCCATGGATTTGGCGACCGCGCGCCAGATCCATGGATCGCTAATCCATGTTTGCGCGCCCCCAGTTCCTCTCGCCCTGTCTCAGGGCGGCCCGCCCCCGCCCCTGCGCCCCTCCTCCTCCTCCTCCTCCTCCTCCTCCTCCTCCTCCTCCTCCTCCTCCTCCTCCCTCCCCCTCCTCCTCCGATGTACTCCGACCCCATATAGGAGGCCTCCCACTTCTGGGCCCCCGTGCGTCCGCCGCCCAGGCTTTCTCCCGAGCCCCCCGAGCCCCGCGGAGAGCGGGTCCAGAGGTTCCCGACCGTAGCCTTAAGTCGGGCCTGTCCGTCTACGGGAGGAATATTGAAGAATAGTCAAGAAATAGTCAGGGGACGATTTTTTGACGGTTTCTGATTATTTGTTCGAATGCTCTTTGCGTCAGAGTGAGGGGGCCGAACGGTCATTCATTGTCCCTGGGTTCGTGGCTGAATTGCGCTGATGCTTGTTGCGTTGTTGTCGCTGTTGTTGTGCTGTTGCGCTGTTGTTGTTGTTGTTGCTGCTGCTGCTGTTGTTGCTATTGTTGTTGTTGTTGTTGTTGCTGTTGTTGTTGTAATTGTTGTTGTTGTTGTTGTTGTTGTTGTTGTTGTTGTTGTTGTTGTTGTTGTGGTTGTTGTTGTTGTTGTTGTTGTTGTTGTTGTTGTTGTTTTTGT